TTAAAAAAAAATATAGGAAATACAATATATAATATTTTTCATATAGAATAGAAAAAAAAACAAGAAAAATGTAGAATTTTAATTAGAATCCTGTCTTACAATAATTATGTTTAAAGATTAAAGATATTAAAATTTTATTACCATTTCTGGATAAAAACAATACTAAGAAACTACAACAAATTATTGAAAGTTTGAATATACAAAACTGAGTTTTCATTTATTTTGTTTATAATTATTATCACTTAGCATCAATATTTAAGTTAATGTAATATTTTTCTTGTATTTGTTTTGTATTCAATAAGTATTTTTTAAAAATGCACAAAATTATTTTTATTGCTTCATACCTACTTAATCAAACATATGTAATCACTTTTAATATTAATTTATAATATATAATGTAGCAAGGAAATCCAATAAATGATTCTTTCGAAAAAAGATGTATGAAATCATTTTCTTAAATTTGTGCTATTTTTTGCTACAAATGAAATAAACGTTCTCGATGTAAGTTTATTCTATAGTAAAAACGAAGTTCGTACAGTACAAATTTTATGAACTTTACATCAATATCACGATTTTATTAACAAAAGAAAATTCCGAATATATCGAAGCACGATTTCAGTAGATACGCCCTTCTTTCGAATAAGTCCTCCAATTAAATTTTTTAAAATAAAGCTTTAATATTTCGGAGAGTTTGTCTACTTTCTACGGTTGAATACAGAATTTTATTCAGCAACTCATGATGTGAGAAAAATACTTTAAACCCAGATTTTTTAGATGAACAGAAATCATAGGGAATAATAGGAGAATATTTGATAGAACTATTCTTGACATTTTTGTAATAAGAGTTTCGATTTCCAAATCAGAGTTTTTAGGACAAGCACATTCTATTAGAAATTCTGGAGATAAATCGAACATTTATAGGGTTAATTTTTTTTACTAAGAGCATCAATTTTGCTTAATTGAAATTTCTTCTATTACATTTCATACTATTGCTTGATCCTTTTTTAGAAATACGAAATTCTGTGCAATGTTTGCGTAATTATTGGTAGTCATTGGGAGAACAGCAGTTGTTGTTTAGAATTCCATTTTACCAATAATATAAATACAAAAGTAAAAATATCAGTAATATAAATACAAAAGGAAAAAAGAAAAACGAATAGTATAGTACAACACAGATTACTAATTGAGCGGATGAAAGTAAATTGACACTAATAGGAAGTAAAAAGTACAAGATCAAGTTGGAATATCGAATCAAGAATGCACCGCATAGGCATCTACATACACATACATATATTTCTACATCTACATACACATACATATATTTCTAAGCACTCGATTTACTCGCTTACATTTGAGAAATGCATAAGACTTGAGACACATCAGCATCGCACGATGTTCGATTCAAAAGCAGAAAAGTAAGAAATATTCGAAGTATAAGATTTTGTCATAAAATATTATTAATATAATGTTGTTTGTAATATTACCTATAAAATATATCAATTATCATTAAAATTGAAGCATAAAATTAAATATAAAACTCGACGCAATTTCTTTAAACACTTGTCACAGGAATAATATTTATTTCTTTAGTTTTATTTCTATAAGATAAATTTAGTACTATAAATTACTGAAAAATTTTGATATAATAATAACAAATTTTTTTAAATTATTTATATATAATTTTTGTCATTTTTAAAATGAGTTTTAAAAAATGTACTAGAAAATACCATCACGATTTTTTGATAATAGTACCACTTCTGAATACATTGAATTTTACATTAACATCAAATAATCAAGTTTGTTTAACATTATCGAAAATGAAAAAATAGTTGAAATCATTATATCGTATTTTGTAATACGAAATACCGATAGGGTCGCCCTTCGGAGGAAAATACAAGAAAATACGTTACATTAAAGAACGAAAATCGGCTAAAATAAAGAGGTCTGATTAAAATCGAATTCAGAAATATGTAATAATGAATAGTTCAAATGAAGAATTATCTTTTAACATTTAGGAACAATCTTCAAAAACGAGTTTATCAGAATCAGAGTCGGAGTGAAACTTAGAATTACTACTTTGATAAAAAATATTCATTTTATTGAACATTTATAAAATTATATTTTCTGATATAAAAGAGACCCATTAATGTAAACAAATTTTTTAATTATTTTTATAAAAATTTAGTAATTTTTTTTATAAAAATTTTCATTCATAAGTTATTATTGCCATTTCTTATATGTATCAAACGTGTGCGATGATTTGAACCGAACTCCATAGCTTAATCTTTCTTTAGCATCCCTGTGAGGTAACAATATGTACATCATGCAATATCGTTATGAGCATCTCGATAAAACCACGAGAATGAGAAAAAGTCAACCAACCCGATCGCAACAATCGTATACATAGTAATGATTTGTGGGGAAATTCATAATATTCATCATTTATACAGTTGTAGTGTATTATTACCATAGTATTAATCATATATAAAGTGTATAGTTGTAGTGTATTATTACCATAGTATTAATCATATATAAAGTGTTTCAGGATGGGCGGTACAACCAAATAGGAAGGGATTTCACGTCAAAAGGAAAGAGTAAAAATTTTCTTTTTTCCTTTAAAACCTTCGTTTTCGAATTTGAAAATTTATCAATTCTGTAGATATGAGATAGGCGCGAATAATCGATACGAGGATATTCTATGTGCAAAACTAATTGTAAGTGAAAAATGTAAAATCAAATTTTTTCATTCAAGATGTCATTTTTAAGAAAATAGACATGTATTCGATAAATTGTCAAACTTGAGTTTATCTAAAGCATCTTAAAAAAAAATTGCATTCCATGTTCTTTACTTATTTCCACACGTAGAATAACCTCTTGCTAATTATTATTTTCCATCGTGTCTAGAATTAGTTAAATTCAACAATAATATTGATAAATTATCAAAGTCAGTTTTCTTGAAAATGAATATTTTTATGAAAAAATTTTATTCTTTACTTTCGATTCGTTTTCTTCATATAGAATCACCTCTTATTTGGCTGTACCTATCCTGAGACACCCTGTATGTGTAGTTCCGTGTATTCGATTGATTTCGTCATTTGATATTCGCTTCGTTTTGAACCATAGAATCTCCCTGACCTCATTTGTACTGACTTATGGCTCACCCAATATACATAGGTACATCGTTGTACATATCTTTTTGTCATCCCTTCGAATTGCTTGTGCCCTAGAATAGTTTTCACGCTATGTACATGTATTTGTCTCTAGTGCGACGATTTCTGTGTGTATGTTTTGAGACTGCATGGTGTTCCGAAATTTTTTTTCTTCACAATATTAAATGGAGAATGCATTGAAATAAAGAATAAATTTACCTCACTTTAGCATCAAAATTCAATATGTACTATCATCCAGATAGACAAAGAAAAAAAAAATAGTATACACGCTTTCACTGAAATACAATAATGATTGAAAAAAAGATTTCAGATTTATAACTTTAAGAAGTTTAGAAATAAAGGATAGAAATTAGTAGGATTTTCTAATTGTATAATAAAAATTAATGAAGAACACAGTAGTGTAATTCTACACTTCGAAATCTTTGTAGATTTATAAAAAAACAGCCTTGAAACTGTATAAATTTCTGTAGAATGTGATTTGTGAATGCTGTGGAAAGGATATAAACAGAAGCTAAAACAGATGCGAGAAAATGATAATCCACTTAAGATATTTGTGCGTCTTAAATTCTTTGTTAGATACTATCGAATTGCTAACGAAAGTAAAAATACTCTCGTTAAGTCTGAAATGATTTTATGGTCTATTGTTTTGTTATTTATTTAAAAAATGGGCACCGGAAAACCATTCTTAATGTTTAAGAATAGTTTTCCTCACAAAAAAATTAAAAAACTGTACAAATCAATGCCTAAGCGATTGAAGTTTTGCAAAAGAAAGCAGGCATTACAAAATATTAATAAATAATTTATTCATTGTACAATCATATAGTAGAGTATCATTTTGTCGTGTAGTTTTATCTTTTGTTTACCTTTCTTTCCACGTCATTCATAAATCATGTTCTGCGAAAGCGATTTTCAATACGTTTATATAGAATGTCATGTAGAATATATATAGAGAGCAAAATATAGCTTTTACACATGTACTGAAAAGTAGACGTTTGAAAAGAAATCGTTGAGACTGACATTTTGTTGCGGACTGTATTAACTAAATACATACACAGCCTAGAACTTCAACGACTTCAATACTAAGAAAAGTGACACTTCACTTTCTGTTTAACGATTACCATCTGGTGTATTTCTAGAATTATAACCGATGACGTGAACATGGTAGTCTAAAAATGAGAAACCGAGAACACCGAGATCACTGCGTCGGCATTTACAACCTGCTGATTCTGATTTACTGCTAGTACAATCTTACCGCGTCATACAGATTATTGCCAACTTTTCTCTACCCATTACGTGTAACTTTTTCGATATATAAATAATTTATAACCTTGTAAAAAGAATAGCAATTATTAAAATAAACCGAATGAGTATCATTTTCTATCTAAATTACGAAAGATAGTAACTTTATAAAACGAAATTGAATCTTCATTTTAACTAGAAATAAAATATCAAACTTTATTATCTCATTCAATTTCTTTTTGTTTTTGAGAACGAATTTACTAACAGTTTTTAAGAAAGAATAACTAATAATTTTCATAGATTTTTAATTTTCAATTTTCAGACCTTTTGAATATTTTCTATAATTGTTCTTGTACTTCGCTATTAATAGTAAGAATGTTTCACATGTAAATCGCATTGTTCAACGATTTATATTGATTTCGATACTTTCTTATTCAGTAATATTGTCTATTATAAAGACATTTATATAAATTTATTGTATATAATAAGTCTATTATAATATAAATTTTTTACAGTATTATAATCTTACTGTATGTGATGTTACTTCCAATTAGTTCTGAAGGACAGAATTTCGGAAGGAATGTCACATACCTCTGGTGATTCGTCCGGCACCTTGCCCATCCAGCTCAGCGACAAGATGTTGCAGTCGCACCTGGCATTGTTATCTTTTTCAAAATATAAATGCATGATCGCGTTAATTGTTACGAATGTTTGTCAAGCCATCGAAGCCGGCATCGATCGATGCAATTGTCACTCAACTAAAAAACGGCGGACACTACTCGCGAACCTTCAATACGAGTAATCCATTCGATAAATGTAAACAATTTTTTCCATATTGATTCAATTATGCCGGCCAAGTCTGTGCTAGCCACTTCTTTTTCTTTGAATTAGAAAAACTGTTTCGATAAAAGAAGAATGAGTTTTCATGAAAGTTGATTGTTCTAGACACAAGTAACGTTGTACGGAACCAGTTCATTCGTCACAAGACTTTTTGAAGTTTAGTTTTTATATTTCAGGCTTCGAAGCTGAATTTACATGACCAACTGTTAAATTTACACGATGCAACTGTTCACGCAAAAGTCATTTGTTTCGTACCACACGTCGCCATTTTGCCGCTTGCTGTAAGTTCACCATTCCTCGCAACAACAACGACAATGACTCGGAATAACGCAGGATACCGCGCACAAGGAAACAAGTGAACTGAACGAATGAATTTCACCAGTTTTCGACGTGACTATGCGTCCGACTGAAACTTCAGCCGGAGCTGCCGCGTACGAGGCACTGCCGCGCCGCGTTCTGCGAACTTATTGATTGCGCTCCGCGCTTGCTTGCTTCCCTGGCCACCTGACGGCCTCTCGCTGCGTTAAATCCACTGCAAAAGATTTTGCGCTATCACCACCATCGAATACGAGGTGACAATAGTCACTTGTTCTCCTGGAAATTTCTCCTGGAACTGCATACGTATTTCTTTTTTCAACATTTTGAAATATGAATATGCAAACTTTTTACTCTAAATAGAATTAGAACATCACTATATTTCTTTTTTAATTTTTTTTAAATATTCTTCGATAATCAATCAAAATCAAGATTAATCATTGTAAAAATTAATTACGGTATAAACATAAAAAATTAAAATTTGTAGCAAATCTGCATACGGGATAAAATATTTGAGAAAGATGACGCTGACAAAAATAAATTGATAGTGATTGATTAATTTATATATTATTTATTATTTATTATGTATATTAATCTGATAGCCAACGCTCGATAATTCAGTTGCATAATTAAATATAAGAATGTTTATTTGTTTGTTATTTGTTTGATGGTCCAAATTGTTTTGTTGCATTATATTAAGAATGTATGTTTTGCCAAATTAGTCCAAGTAATTAAAAATATAGCCGAAAGTTTATATGATGAAAAAAAAAAATCAAAAAGTCAAACCTTATATGAAATAGTATGTTAAATAATTAAAAAATAATAGAATAAAGTAGAAGAATTTCGATTATCTGGCATACTCATGATCAAAACAGTGTCGTATTGTCAAATATGAATGACTGAATATGATAATTGAATGCACTTATATATACATATATAAAGTAATAAAAACGAAGAAAATAATTTAAAAAGCAAATAATATAAAAATAGTTTGTAGTAACAAAAATAAAATATATAGATATAGAAAATATAGAATATATGTACATGTACCTAATTAATGTTACTTAATTTTCTTTTTTTATAAATATGATTCGCATAATTACTGAAGAGTAATTTGTACAAGTAGAGGTGCAAATGTGTCGGTTGACGAGACATTCCGGATAATCGGAAGTCGGATAATTGAAATTCTATTATAGTTAATTCCGGAAGAATAGTTCAAAAAAGAAATTAGAAGAACTATTTGCAAATAATGACGATAATTGAGACGCTGTGCATTTATTCATGTTAATATTTTTAAGGAACATGTAATGCGTATTTTTAATACAGCATGCTGAAAATCTTGAAGTTTAATAATAAAATAATTTATATTATTTCGAGTGATTCATAGCCTTAGATTCATTAAAATAAAATTTTTTATTTATTTCATGTGATGTTTATATGTTAAATATTTTACGTTAAAAGTGATAAAAGAAATTTATTTATTAAACAAACATTTTGGTAACTTGTGCTTATATTATTTCCAAAAAACAATTAATTTTATTAATTTTTTCAAATTTGTATACAATTTGAAAATTTATTATGAAGCAGCATTTCGTAGTATTAAATATATCTTTTTAATTTTTTTATTTTCTTATATTGAAAATTAATAAAATACCTGCAAGTTCTATTTTTTATTTATTCAATAACTTTATTGCACAATTTTCGTTATTCTTATATAATTTAAGTATTTGTATTATTCAAATATTTATTTTAGTATCATTTTTAATCATAAAATTATCAAAAACAGTGATATATTGCAATTTCTTATATAATAATAATTTTTTAGTATTGCTATATATTTTTTCTTTTATAAGAAAAGAGGAATGACAGTAATTGATGCCCTATGTTGTCAAACAGCTTAGTTGAAACTACTCTATGTCAGAATAAATTATTCATAAAATATTTTTACATTTCACTTTGCCAATTAATATCAAAATGCATTTTTAAATTTTATGTCAAGTAACATTTTTTCTATCTACACCTTCTTTCTTTGTATATCTGATAGATATCTTTGGTATATTTGCATGTAGATAATTACGATAGTTTAATTAGTTACATAATCTTATTGTGCATGTTCTTTTGAATGTCAAAGATTCGTATATCTTTCCTATATAAATCCCCATCGTAATGTAATATCATTGACTAACAATAAGAATAGAATAGACTGGACATTAAATGAGGCTTCGTGTTTCAAAGTCGGAAATATCGACAAGGCAAAAAATTACTAGTGAATTGAAGAACTATGTCAAACAAAATGTTACAAATTAAGTAAAATGATATCTGTTACAGTGTTGCCAATTATATATCTCTAGCACAGAAAAAGTATAAAATACATACATACATATACATATATATACATATTTGTTATGTATATGTATGTATGTATATATATATATATATATACAGTGGGTGTAGAAAGTATTCGTACACAGATCAATTTCTAACAAAACTTAGTGAAATGGCAGTTTATTAACAATTTTTTTTATAAACAATGAGTTTGTACACATTTTCGGAAATCTGTAGAATAGATGCAATGCAAAAAAAATTTTTAATTTGTATAATTTGCGAAATTAACAAGAAAAAACAAAAAATCGGCAGAAATGTACAAACAATAAGTATTCGTACAACTGCTAAATTGTTTGAAATTTAGAAAAAAAAACAATTTAAATGTTTGACAATAAAAAACTAATGTTAAAACAATTAATTAATAGGTTGTAGGGTTTCCTTTTTATTTTATAATTGCTGCAATTCTCTTAGGCATTGAATTGACCAAATTTGATTATTATGCGAGGCGAAATCTTGTTCCATTCCTCCTAGAGAGCATTTTTTAAACCTTCTTTAGAGGAAATTTGATGTGTTCTAATTTGACGTTCCAAGTAATCCCACGTATTCTACTGGGTTTATATCTGCAGAGTATCCATAGTTCAGTAGTATCTACATTCTGGTATTATACGCAGTATGTTTTGGATCTTTATCTTGCATAAAAATAAAATCATCTTTAATGCCCATTTTTTCTTCACTGAAAGAAAGATTAGATTTTAAAATGTCAATGTAAACTCGTGGTGGTTCGTTATTCCATCATATCCATATAAATTGTAATGTGCCGACACCAGATGCACTCATGCAACCCCAAATTACGGAACCTCCAGCGTGTTCTACTGTAGGCCGTAAGTTTGCTGGTTTCAGTTCCTCATTTCTTTTTTTCTCCAAATAGTACAATGTCCATCAGATCCGAAAATATTGAATTTACTCTCGCCTGTGAAAATCACTTTATTCCAGTACTGCTGATTGATGTGTTGATATTATTATTTGCGAACTGCAATCTCTTCTTTCTATTCGCTTCAGATACAAAATATTTGTTACGGACCACTCGTCCGTCATACTCTTGGCTTTGTAAAAAACTACGCACAGTACTAACAGATAATTAATGTTTAAATTATTATTAAGGTGGTCAACTATTTTTACTGCACTTATTTTTGAATTTTGCCTTATCATTCTAATAACAACTTGTCCAGTTTGTATCATACTGTTCAAGTTTCCGTGGACGACCACTTCTTGGGTTATTTTGCAGCCTGTTTCATTGTCCATACCTATCAATTATACTTTGTATAGTAGTCTGCTTATAATCCACGAAATTTCTGATAAACTTTTACAATGATTATGTAAATTAATAATAATTTTTCTTTCTTCTATTATAGTTTTCGTCCCATTTTTTAACGATAATTTTAGATACTGTAAAATTTTGAACATGTCTGATGCCGATAATGTATCCAAACATACTGACATTAATCATAGTTATGAAGCAGCGATGAAATATGTTTACATTATAAATTCTCTTGTAAGCAGTTCGAAATAGAAACTGTACGAATACTTATTGCATGTACATTTTGTGAGTAAATCAAATAAAAAACACACTGTTAATTAATATGTTTAATATATATATATATATATATATATATATATATATATATATATATAAACTGAATAATGTAGATAATAATTATCACTTGAATTCACTTTCTCACAGATCAATATTACTTTTAACTCAGATTCGCAATGAATACTCTTCTGCTGCTTGCTTCTGAACAAAAACGCATCACGCAACACATTCGCAATTGTCTCACAACACTCATGCCTTCGCTCGACTCTCATGCATTTCTCACACATACAACATAAAACCAAATCCACACTTTTGAAAATCACCCCCTCAGTTGGGTTGTACTTTTCGGCTCACCCTGTGTATACATCCCCTGCAACAAGCATCAGCGTCCCTTTGAATCGGAGAATCACCGTGCACCCTGACCTTCTTCAACGACATTCCAAAAAGGTTGAAAATCAACCTTTTAAAACGGAGGGTTGATACGCGCGCTTCTGATATCTTCTCTTCGCCAATTTTAATAATCAATTCCATCAGCAGGACCAAATACCGGCGTGTTGCACGCGTGCAAATACATCGACCCTCGATCACGAAACCCTTGGCTGTCCCTTCGCCCGTGTTTCACCTTGACGAAGGTTACTCTCGACTGCGTGGATGGTTCACGGTCGTGGAGAGAAGCTGAAGGTGTCTCTCGAACTGACTGTTGGCTGTTGAAGATTTCTAGTCTTTCACGAAATCGAGACGTTGGAAGATTTGTGCAAGAAGGGTAATTTATGCAAGAGGGTTAGGTAGCTCTTGAGTTCTCTGTCTTTTTTTTTTTTTTACTTATTTTGTATTCATATCTATGTTTCTTCAGTTTCTCAAAATCCCAGTCTACTCTATACAGTTATCAACCAAAATTCGAAACATTTGATCTCGCCTCACGAAAGTATTCGAACGTTTATTACAAAAGACTTTTTATTTGATGATGTATAATATGTACTTTGATATTATAATATATTATGACTATATAATATCATTTCATATATATTTATGATATATAATATGTACTTTTATATTATAATGTAATTGATGATATATAATGTGTACTTTTATATTATAATATATTATGACTATTTTTTTATATTATAATATATTATGACTTTTTTTATTATAGTACTTTTATATTATAATATATTATGACTATTTTTTATTATAGTACTTTTATATTATAATATATTATAATATATTATGACTTTTATATTATAATATAATCGATGATATATAATATATTATGACTATATAATATA